AGTCACATAAAACATGTAGAACACGGAGGGGGGAGGCGTTGGGGCTTCATGCAGGTGCCGAGCAAGGCGACAACCGCATGTGGCCTTTATGACTATTCCATCCGTCAGAAGTGGGTTAGGCATGTCACCTTCGGCCGCCTGCGCACAATCCCACCTCAGGGCTTCTTGTCTTTGTCCCGGTGCCGGGCTGAGGTTGTCGAGCGAAGGGGGGGAGTGAGATAAGTGCAACTAGAGTATACTACCAGTTGAAACGAATCTACACGTAGACCACCGTTTCTGTAAAACTACGTTGAGGTGCAAACGGCGGACATTGCCTTTGTTGGCAGTCGACCTGCAAAATTTGAATGCGGCCAAATAGATGAGGGTCTCCAGTCGACAGCACAGTTTGAAGTTTTTGTCCAGCACTGTACTGGCATTAGTTCCGGATGTGTGCCCGTTTCTGAATATGTTTATTGCTGTCTGTCCTCTACCTTACCTTGCTTGCTCCTGGACCTGTCCGAATTTACTTGCTCTTTGCCCCACTTTCTAATCGACCAGCGAAATCCCGCTTAGCGTCCAACACTTCCATTTACAGTTGCAAACGTTGCCTTGTCAGGAGTGCAGTCTATCGTCCGGCGGTCCTAGTTGTGCATCTTACCAGTGCGCCACTCCACCAGCATTCGCCTACAGCGTACTTGTCAACAGGAATGACCCTCTGAACGAGTGACCAGCACCGCAGAAACTGGATTATTACAGAGAGCCAACCCTCAACATACTCTGGTCTCATTCTCCCTGCACCACCGCCCGAGTACGCAGACTTCACCAATATGTTTAATGCTACTTCAAAACGTGATCAGGCGAGTACCTCGTCCGTAACATTACCTTTTCCTTTCATCTTCATATTCCTAGACTTCAAATTCACTTAATGTTCCTCTACTTCTATTGCCGCAGCCTCTGAAATGATCACTTTTAGTTGCCGACATTCTTTTACAAAACGCTTGTGGCAGTGTGTTGGAGTTGTCCATCGCGTAGTCACTCTGACACAGAAACCTATCACTCAGCGTTTACAAGACATCCTATTCAATCTCAGTGGTTTCAGGTGAGTCTGTTGCTCTCAAAACATATGCCTTTTTATCAGTTTCACAGTTTCCTCCTTCAAATCGAGGAGCTTTGTACAGTCTACAGATGTTCCTTTTTACTTCCTTGTTGGTTTGAGCACTCCCTTTGTCACGTCAGTTCCTCCCGTAGTAAATAACGATTTAGAAAGCAGAACTTTAGTTACAAGTTTAGATTCATGGTGAAGAAAGTCAGTTCTGAATTGGTTGCCATCCCAGACTGTGAGCCTACATTTCACAACTTACGCGCTGATCATAGTGTATTTAGGCTCTAGCAATATCACTGAAACGCACAAAGACCCTACGATCCTTTGATGATGCCAAATTTTCACGTGGGCGTCGGCGTCGGCTGACTGAATTACAGTCTGGTATCACGAATAATGCAATCACCAAACCGGTCTGTTTTTTCCCAATCACCGGGAAGACCAACATGTCTTCGATGCATATATCTGAACAGGCGACGGCACGTCTCGGGATTCATGGCTGTCTACACGGGACGATGATGCCGCCGATTAGCCACGTCAAGGGCGATATCGTCTCGTTAAATGATGCTGTTTTTATGTGTTTCAGTCCTCAACCGTGTCCCTTGGACCGACGTGTCGGCGTCATCGCCGCAAAGGTTAGTCCGCATCGTTGGCCGTCCTCCTATACGGTTGTGAATACTGGGCTGATATCTTAGATTATTTAAGAAAGGTTATTGGGATGATTTTCTGTATGTTAATGTACGTCAACTGTATATGTACAGACCGAGAGATGCTAGCCATGTGGCTATCAACTGCAACGCCGTCTACGCTGGGCTGCCTGAACTGTTTCTCCGGCACGAATGTTGCGAATTGATTGGAGAAACACTTCACACTTAAAAAAGAAATGGTTACTTTTAAAATAGTGAGTAGGCTTACTTTTTTATGAAGTCCATAGCTGAGCTCAAATGAGGTATTCGTACCTTTGGTCATCTAGCCTAGCGAGACCCGGCACGATGCCTATTGTGTTTCTATCAACCTCGGCCACCTTCAACCATTCCTTGCCGTCCAAACTGTCCAGAGCATTGGGCGATGCAGAACTCCAACGCTCTGAAATGTCAGTGCACATCCACACATCCGGACAGTCTCTGCCCTGTCCTCTGCGACAGAGTACCGACCAGAGCTTTTCCCGCAGATTTTCTCGTCCGTTGGGCCGCATCCAAAACTCTTTCCTTGTTCCCGACAATGGATTTACCGGAGATGCTGGCCATTTGCTAGCTACGCGTCCGCTCTCTAGGCCTGGTCATTCCCCCTTCTTCTTTCCCCTCGCACGGTCACGGGATCTATCGCCAACATTTTAGTACACCCTAAGTTGTCTCCATATCAATTTTAATCTTCTTGGTTTCCATTCAAAGACTAGCATGAAATGTACAGTCGAATAC